TCATACACATAGGGGGAGAGATGATACAAGAGGAGAATGATCAGAAAGGTGTATGGTTGAAGATGGTGAGCGAAGCGAATATGCATGGTTGAAATCGTTGAGGATGATATCAAGGAGTCAAGTGGATGAATGTGTATTCAAGCATAAGTGTGTACAAGCATAAAGTCAAAAAGGGGGAGAATGTTAATGCAATGAAAGAGCATCAAACAAAGATTCAATATCTAGAAGATCTCAAGCAAAAAGGAAACAAGTCAATGTGAAGAAAAATGGAAAGAGTAAGCAAAAGGAATGAAGATAAAGAAAAGGAAAAACAAATATGATGAAACGAAATGGAAACCCTATGCAGGAGGCTGAACATAAATACAGAGGCGTGCACAATAGAAGAGATCACCCAAGCAGAGAGAGAGTGTTTGAGTCGTGAAAGCTTTGGGCATAAACATATTTGTATGGGAAACACGGGTGAGTGATACTTGAGATAGAGTGAAATGTATCTGAGGGGGAGCCTTCAAATAACAGGCGAACCGCTCAAAGGGCCTAGACGAGTCTAGGGTTACACGGGGTGTGCGAGGCACACATAGTGTATGGGCTGATAGAATTCATGTTGTAAGGGGGAACAAACTCAGGGGGAGTTGTGTTCTTGGGATGGATTAGGCTCGAACAAAAAAGAGTTGTAATTCATGTTCTTTACAAATGAATAGAATCAGTTGGGAAATTATTGAAAGCAATATCGTGTGAATTTACTTTTTCATTAATGGTTGTCTGATCTCTAGGTATGATGAGATTGGGTTTCAAGTGTTCCTCCAAAGGCGTGTCGGATAAAATGCTCAATAATTCCGCAATATATTTGTAATATATTTCAAATGACAAACAAGATGAAATCAGGAACATGTAAATGGGTGACAAACAGAATAACAACATTGAATAATTACATAATAACAAAATATTAATATATTTTTTTTTATTTTTTTAATGATACGATGATATGGTAAATGTTTTCTACGTGAGAGACGTTGAAAAAATGCAACGGCAAAACACAAGTTCGTGGAAAGATCGTGT